AGTGTGAAATAGTTATGAAAGATGAAATTAGCACTTTATAGTGTACTATTCAATTATACTTAGTGAGGAAGAAATGATTCAATTACTCAGTAGAGTTTTAATGTATAGTATTTCAGTTTTCCTTATTTTGTCCCTAATAAGTTTAATACAAAATTAAAATATTTATACTATATGTTATAAGAAACCATGTCATAAAACTATATGAAATATCTTTCTTAATCAGAAATTGTGTTATTTTTGAAAATTGTGTTCCTGTCCAATAGTTTAAAAGCAAATCTCATATGTGACAATATATTTAAAAGTACAATAAAAGTCTTCATAACATTTTTAATTATAGCATTAGATTACATGCTTTTTTTTTTTTGAAACAGAAAGCATCCTTAAGGGTAATGTTCCATTCTTGATACCAATGCCTGGGCAGATTATGTGAGTTGTGACATAGCTATTTAAATGTCAAGGCTGGTACTAAAATCCAGTACCATCTCCCAGTCTAATGCTTTTTAACTTGTCTTGGTTATGGATTGGTTTATTTGCAAGTGACAGAAATACTCCAAAGGGGAGGAAAGCTTCAGTCAGTCCAAGTGAAAGGGGCTCAGATGGATATGGAGTCTATACATGGTATTTCCTCTCTTGCCCATTCTCATCTCTGTGTTCTCTGAGTTCCTGTTTTTGTCACCAGTTGTTTTTAGTAAGCCTCATTGTCTTATGCCTGAAAGCACTAGTTTGCAGATGTCAGGGAATTGATTTTGAACAGAGAAGCCACTTGCTCATGTGACACTTTATGTGAATTAGGAAACGGTGTCCCTCCAAGGCAATATAGCCTTGTATGTCATTGTACCACACTAGCCAGTGGTCATGGCCAGCCTCTCCATGACCTTACCAAACCTGGGCCCAACATCATCTGCTCGACTCATTTTTATGCCTGCATTCCAATTTCTGACTGGCTCTACTTATGTCAAATGTTGTCTTAGTTTACAAGATAGTAAACATGACACAGAACCCCAAATTTTTTTACACATATATTTGAGAGAGAAAGAGAAGCAAAAGATAATTGAAATTTGATGCCTGGAGATCTTGGCCTTAATTTGCCCTGTATTTTCAAGATGTAGGTACCCAATATAATTGTCATCCTAGGTCTCAAGCTATGAGAGGTCCTGAGCAGGGCTGACAATTTCTACCTCTGTATCCAGAGACATTCCATCGCTAGCCAAAGCAGACAGCCTAGTTGACAGATGGCTTTATTGTTTTTGCACTGGCTTCGCTTTGAATGCATTTTCAAAAATATAATCTTAATTGAATAGTGGATCTTTTGAACATTTTAGGTAGCCCCTATCTCACCAAATTCATAATGAAATGTTAACAATGCAGAGAAACACTTATTTGATTTTATATAGGCAGTTTCTTCTATTGCCAACTTAATTGGAAATCCAGCATTCGACAATTTCTGAAATTGAGTCACTTAATTAAACTACTTATTTAAGAGCTCTACAGTGGCCAGTGAGGGATAGCACCAAAAACCAGAATTGAGGACATTGAAGGGATGTTCACCTCAGATTCAACCACAGCAAGTAGAGGACAGAAGGAGGGGACCAAATCACATATAAGGTTATCTCTTCAGGGCTGTGGGGAGGTAATCAAGTCTGGCCAAAGATGGTACACTATTAAACCACATTGCTTCACTATAGGCTGTGAGGTATAGAAAAATACTATAATATATGTTGATAATAAAAGAGATCACAATATATTACCAAATATAATCAGAAGAAATAAAATATGCAACTCTAGTATTTTATTTTTGACCAAGTTAAATCCAAATCACTATGTTTCATAAATACTAGCTATCGTAATGATCTTTCTAGAAGAGATTTTTGAAGATATTTTAACTATCCCACTAACATTAGCAAATTAAAAAGAAAAAAAAAAGTGAATCATTACATCCCTGTCTTGTGTCCATGGCAGACATCCCATATAGAACCATTGTCTACTTTCCACTGACCTGAACTTGGCCTCACAGTCCTTCTCCAGGCCACTACTCATTGCCTGGTAACTGGGCATAGTGCTCAATGAAAATTCTTCATCCACTGGTAAACTAAACTTCCTAAGAGCAGGGTCCTCGTCCTACTTATCTCTATAACCCAATGCCAGCATATTACCTGCACAAAGCGACACTCCGTATATACTTATGAATGGATAAGTGACCCAGGAATTGTAAAAACAGTTTTTCCCCAAGCAGGTGATTTACAAATATATATATTTTGTAAATCACCTGCTTGGGGAAAAACTATTTTTACAATTCCTGTGTAAGTACTTCTTTCCCCTCATATCACCAAGCTCAAATACCATATTTTGAGAAATATTTGCTAATCTACATGTGTATACACATATACATACACACACACACACACACACACACATATATATATATGTGTATATATATATGTGTGTGTATATATATGTGTATATATATATTCAAGTGGCCAAAATCACAAGCAAAAATAAATTTAACTTGTAATTAACAAAAATTTTGGTTAAATCATTTTTGGCTAGATTAGCAAATATTTCTCAAAATATGGTATTTGATCTTGGTGATATGAGGGGAAAGAAGTACTTACACATATGATTGATAAGCTATCATAACTTGTTATAATAACTTTTCTGGAGGGATTTTTGATATAGTTTATCAAAAATCATAAAAACAAAAATACTTTAACCTGTAAATTCTATCTGTGGAAATATATTTCATGAAAATAGATATTTGTACAATTAATTAGCTATAAGGAAATTTCCTTCAATATAATAAAAATAAAACAATTTGTATTACCAGCAATCAAGAATTGGCTAAATAACATTTGATGGCTTTTCTATATAGTGTTATTTATATAATTCACATATGTGTATAGTATACAGCTATTAAAATTATATAAAAGTGTGCATATCAACATGGACAGATGTTTAGTATGTACTTTTAAATGAAAAAAATTGCAAAATAATATTTTTGGTATATGGTCTTTGTAAGTATGTATGTGTATAAGCTCGAATAAGAGAGTCCAGAAACTCTAACAGGTTAACATTTGCTATCTCTTGATAAATAGGATAATAAGGTGGGCTTTTTTTTTTTTTTTTGGCCTGTATCTTTTTCTTTATCATGAACTACTTCAGTAATAAAAAAGGTAGATTTTTATATTTAAATAATTGTTCTCTAGAGAAGTTTTTGTTTTTGTTGATATGTTTTCTTATAATGAACAGAACATCCAGACTCATTCCATTGATCATTCTTTTAAAGAGTGTTTAAACATCAGACAACTTCCCTAAGGACTTCAGTGTGAGCTCTTGGAGAGTTAGTTTTAAATCTGGCCATCTTATTCACATACTCTTTGTTTTTTTTCTCTCATTCTTCCTCTCTCACTAAATTCTTTCCCTGTCTTCTGTAAATACTGATGGGGAAAAATGACAGAAGTCTGATCAGAGTGCTTTGTTATAGAAAGCACAATTGAGTCAATTATACTTTGCTTAGATTTTCAGTGTTCAGTCTTTTTTTTATTATTATAAAAATAATCTATACTTGTTTGTTATGCCCAAAATTGGAAAGTACAAGGCATTTTTAAAGAAGTTGAAAAAAATTCCATAATGTAGCATACTTACATCAAGTATATTTTATTTTTCTATATATTATTTTCTTTATGTAGTTAAAATCATGTTGTATATGCAATCATATTTTATTCTTTCTAATAGTAGTGCATCGTATTTTCTCAATAATCTCTTTTAACTAGTAGTTTCTGTACTAAACCAGCATCTTTCTCATTCATTCTTTCATGTAGTAATACTGTTGAATGGTACCATATGCCTGCTAAGTACATGGTACCAACGATAGAGATGATTAGCTTGATACCTGCATTTGTGGAGTGGACCAGCCAGGGATATAAGCGGCTGCCTGGTTTAGTCCACTGTTAAATTCAATAAACAACATAAGCAGCTACTGGGAAATGAAATATAGGTGTTAGAGTCACAGGAAGAGCTGCAACTGCCTCTATGAAATATATCCCTTAGTCATAGTCTCTATTATTCCATAATGTCTTCTAACTATACTTTCTCATGGAAAACAAATAGAATTAGCAATGTGTTATATTTTCGCACATTAGTTAATTCACACTAAGAAGAATAAGCTTTTTATCCTCCCCAAAATTAATTTAACAAGTTAGAACAAAGAGAACATGAGGTGATGTCGAGTTCATCTGCCAAATCATAGTTGTCTGGTGTGTATTTACTAAAGAAAAGAGGAACCTTTGTATTAAATACTTCTCAAACAAAGGAATCAGGAGATATTTTTGAAATGTTTAAAAACAGAGACAGAATGGGAACTAACCATTCAGAGAGATGCTCCTTATCTGTTATGTGTATGTATCCCTCAGTTATATAAGGGAGGTCCAGGGGGGGATCCAGGACAGAGCCCAGTATAGTGGGGGCCCTCACGAGGTTCAGGACAGTGGCTATTGGCCAAATAGTGTAAAAGTATTTCAACATTTTAACAACTGGTATGACAGATTAAGCCTAGATGAAATAAATTAGAATACTGTGGGTGACTTCTGCTCTGGGGAAGGACTTCATATAAAGGTTAGAACAACTCTCCTTTTGCCCAAGAAAATTGTCTTTGGTAGATCTCTGTTAATCTCACAAAACTAGAAACTCCAGATCCACTTCGCCAATTAAAAAAGAGAGAGGAAAAAATTCCAGGTTCAGACAACTGAAACCAAATGTGGACATTATAGGAATGCTGCTTAAATATTATTGAGATAGAGAAAAAAGGAGAGAAGCTGGAAGAATAACTCTCTGGTTTGGCTTGATAACTGGGAAATCTGAAATGTCTGCTTATTTAAAAAAAAAAAACAAAAAAACAAAAAAAAACAGAAAACTGAGTTATCTTAGTCACATTCATGAAATGGCAGTATATGAAGTTTTAATGCATATGATAATATGTTTAATAGTTTGTTTTCCTCTTTTAGCTTTCCTTATTGGAAAAGGCTGGATTTGGAGGTGTTCTTCTATATATTGATCCTTGTGATTTACCAAAGACTGCAAATCTTAGCTATGATACTTTCATGGTGTCACTGAATCCAGGAGGAGACCCTTCTACACCTGGTTATCCAAGTGTAGGTAAGTTCATTGTTAATCTTTATTATTCTTGTAAGCATTACAAGGTGGCAATTTAAAAGTACATGATACCTAAATTAATCGTGGGGTAGTAAAGTCAAGAAATTTTAAAAAGTGAATTTTTTTTAATCTCTTCAAACTTTAGAATAATTATTTGTTGGAATAAAACTTTTTAAAAAGTCTATAATAGTTTTATTTTTGTCTCAATAAATATCAGTGTCAGGAACAAAGGTAAAACAAATTTTACATATTATTAGTAATTGAATGATAACATAAATTAACACCGTGTGTGACGGGCACTCCGTGTAGGTATGTACAGATACCTAGAAACATGAAAGGTCTGCTGCTTTGGGGCAGCTGTAATAACTTTAAGTCCAGAGTCTGGAGGTACTTGTAGTCAAGTTAGGTGACTAAAGTAGTAGAAAATGATGCTTGAAAAAGATGGAGTTAATATGATCGAATTGTCTGGCTCCATAGGAGAAGTGACCTCATTGGTTTGGCCAGTCGCTGGGAGCACAGAATAGCCTTTGCAACAAACAGTCTTCTCTTTCCCAGTAAGTTGTGTTCACGATAGTGGGGGTCATGTGGCCAAAAGAAGACAACCATGATTTTGGCAGGTGCTCACTGCATCATTGAATTTCTGTCCAATACGTCAGTGACAAGTATACATTTATATAGACCTAGCGGAAGAAAAAGCTCTTTGGACTTTCTTCCAGAGTGATACTAACCCATTAACTGTGACACTTCAGTCAGTAATTAAACTAACGTAAAATTTATGTAATTATTCATGTGTTCTGCCAAGATTTCCCTTGTTTCCAACAAAATATCACAAAAGACTTTACTAATTGTCTTAAGTCCAGCTGTTCTGGATTTTACCAATCGATCAATAAATTTCTGTAAGAAAGAAGTAAATTGAGTCAAATATGAATTATAATTTATGATTTTACAGGGTTCTACTGAATACTGCTTTGTTTTCTAAAATTCTCCATTAGTAATTCATGTAACAATTTTATTTGAGACCTCACTTATCTGTAGTTTGTACAGTCTGCTGTCTCATTATTACAATTTTGAAATTAAAATTAAGAGGTATTCATGTAAAATTTCCAAACATCACTGAAAATATTAGTCCAGCTCTCTTATTTGTAAATATTCTATTTACTTCCTTGGGTTGTAATGCCTCAGCTTCAAGAGATTGCATGTGGAAGCTAACTCTGTGGCAAATCAATGGGATGCAGTGCTGCCAAAAAGCAGATACTTTATACTCTGCTTAAATTGGTAAGCTGCCTAGTTGGCAACATTTATTCTTAACACTTTCTGACTCAGGTCATTTCACAGGTGAAGAATTCAGTCATATCTGGTAAATGTTGGCTAGTCTTGAGCAAATCTCAGAATACTTTTTTCTTTTAAATAATTTCTGCTTTCAAAAAAGTTACAAATATAGTAAATAGAGAATCTGTATATATTTATGCCAGCATCTTTTGTTACTATTTACGTAGTATAGCATAGTTATCAAAGCCATACAGTTAACATTGATACAATGTTATTAACTAATTATTGACTACATCCAAATTTCCCCAATTCTATCACTACTTTTTTTTCCTTCTGCTCTAACATCCAATTCGGAATTCTATACTGCATTTAGTTGCCTTGTTTTGTTAATACTTTCCAATATGGAACAATCTTTCTTTTATTACCTTGACCCTTTGAAGAATACTGACAGTTAATTTTGTAGAATGTACCTCAGTTGAGCTTGCCTAATATTTTCTAATGATTAGATTGGGGTTATGCATTTTTGGCAGGGATACTGCAGAAGTTGTGCCCTTGTCTGTGCATCGTATAAGAATGTACCTATCATAGATATGTCTTATTTTTTCATGATGTTAAGATTCATCCTGTGGTTATGGTGGTGTCTGACAGTTTTCTCCACGATATAGTTACGACTTTTTTCTTTGAAATTAATGAATATCTTCTGAAGAGTTACTATGAGACCCTGTAAACATCCTTTCTTATCATATATTTCCCCATTATCATTCTTTTAAAATACTTTTCAAAGAAAGGTTTTGTTTGTTTGTTTGTTTGTTACTGTATGGGTAGTCATACTTGCTGCCTGCATTCTCAAACAAAGGTAAATGACCATCTAACCATTTGGGGCAAAATTATAAGTCAGAATTTTTAGATTCAATGACAAAATATCAGTGCAATAAATGATTTTACCTAGTATATTGCTCACGTACTTACAGAAGACTCACGCGAAACATTCTTTTACAAATATAATGTTAGAGTGAAGGGGGAGGATCTCTTTTCTACATATGAATCTATATACAATACACCAAAAAAAGAAATAATAAAACCCACTGTAATTTTCTTTTTACCCTAGATGCTAAGAAGCACAATAACTATAGTGACTTATACCCCTGTTTCTGATTTATTTATCCCTCCTTCCTGAAATTGTCTTAAATATCTGTGTCTTATGGTTTTATTCACATTTTATAAAATAATGGAAAGTGTTTTGGGGGGAAGAGAGGAGAAGTCAAATTGTGAATTGTAAATAAAAACTACAAATAATAATTTGTTCAAAATGAACAATAATATCTGACTTAACATCCTACAATACTGTCAGGTAAATAATTATTAGAGGAGTTAATATAAACATACTTCTTTTTCCAGTTTTAAGAACTCTTATTAACTAATCTAAGGATAATTAAGTTCTAAAGAAGTAGTATAGAGTGACAAAACTACAAGATCTTTTTGTTTGTTCAATATATTTAAAGTAAACAGAATAGTATAATAAACTCTATATGCCTTATTCAGCTTCATCAACTTTCTACATTCTACCAGATGTTTTGTCTGTACACCCCTTACACCCCACAGCACCACTAGCTATTTTTTCAGATAAAATTTACATATATTGAAATGCACACATCTTAACTGACAAAAGGATACACCTGTGTAATCTCCGTGCCTATTTAGCTATAAAACACTTCCATCACCTTGAAAGTCTGAGTCCTTTCAGAGTCATTCCCCATCATCAGCTAACCACCAGTGTTGCTTTTTTCATAATACAAACATTTAGAATGTCAAAAAATAGAAATGTGTAATATATATCATTCTCTGCAGGTTCTTGTAATCAGAATAATGCCCGCAATGTTGATTCACGATTGCATGTATCAGTAGTTCATTCCCTTTTATTGCTGAGAAGTACAGCACGATTTGTGTATTGATTCAAGTAGGTGTTTTTTAAAACAAGAATGCCAATACACTCTTCCACAATACATGATCCAAATAGATTATCCAAACAAGACACAGGAAATTTCTGTAAGGTAGTTCTGCTCAGTAAACCTCATTGCATATTCAAACAATTCTTGATTATTATAGAATCAGAGCAAAGGGTAAAAGTTTTTAAATAACTTTTGCTTCTATTACACAGAAAAGAATGTCATATTCTTTTAACAAAAATATTTAGTTTCATTAGGCTTACTAATTATCTTCTCTAAGACATTTTTCCACAATAAAAAGATTGTACACACATACACACACACACATACATCTTTATCTCATAGAGTGTTAAATGCAAAATCTTGAGCTCCACCTCAGATGTAATAGAAACTCTGAGGGAAGGGGGACAAGATTTTGAGTTATAACAGACTCTCCAGTGGAATCTGATACAACTGATTTTGAGAAACACTGAATTTCATAAATTTATTCTTTGTCTGACACAGCTGAATTTGACCACTGGGGCTACTGACCTAAACTTTGTGACCTCATGTTACTATTCTTTCAGCATCTTGTATTGGTGCCTTTATTTTACTGCCTCCATGTCAATCAGGACTGAGAAACATATGTGTTCTGGATCCTCAACCCAATTTGGGGGCTCAGTGGGCTCTCAGTAAATATTTGCTGAATTAATAATTTATTCTGTTAATATGACAGCTTGTCTGATGATTCTGGTCCCGGGCTATACCTTGATTTAAATTAACCCAATTAAAATTCATTTTTTAAAAAGTATATATAAACACTCAACCCTGACAGGTTTGTTTACAAAATTCATGTTTTTTCTCCTAAAATGCTTCTGTCAACTTTCTCACATCTTTTCTACCACTCAAAACTGCAGAAATCCAAATTTAAAATTTCGATTAAAATATTAGGATATCGAAAGTCTAATCTATTCTCAATTCCTTTGAAAATTTATCAAATATTTCAAAGATTAAATGTATAAAATATCAAAAACTTTATAAGTGCTTTTGCCAACTTGCTACAAGTTTCAACTGCATCAAATTATGACCCAAGCAAATTTTATTTCTTGGAATTAATGTAGAAAGGAGGCAAGAGAACTAAACATTAAATCAAGCTATATTTAGAGACTGCAATGTGCTGATCAGCCCTAAAGCCAGACCACAAGGAAATCCACAGAACAAAGGAAGATATTTTCTGGGATTACTAACAAACCATTTACCCATACTTTGAAGGGAAAACAGGAAAACAGTATAGGAAAATAGAGTCTTTAAGTCATGCCCTATACAAAATAAGCACAATCATTCATTCCTTAGCTAAAACCATAGAACCTATGGATCAAAGACTGGGAATTGCTAGCAGGCCTTTCACACTGCATATGTTTACTTTACACTGCATACCTGCACCATCAGATGAAAATGAGTAAACAGTCTTTAAACTGTAATTTATAGAAACTAAGAATGATATACAAACTGAATTCCCTGAACCCTCAGGGTCCCTCTCACTGTCTTTTTCTCTGTCCCTCTCATTTTCTCTCTCTTATCTCTCTCTCTCTGTCCCTGTGAGTCTCTCTCAGGCTGTCTCACTCTGTCTCTAAAAGGAGACTCTGCTTTGTCTATGGAGTATTATCTTTTGTCTAATAAACTTTCCTTTTGACTCTAACTCTGGTGTGTGTATACTTGAATTCTTTCCTGTGCTCAATCAAGAACTCTCTCAGTCTAGGCCATGCCATCCTGAACACGCCCAATATCATCTGATATCAGAAGCTAAGC